AAACTCAAAGGCTATTGGATACTATTCGTAATGGGATTAACTATAAATGAGAAAGGATGGGTACTTCAATTGATAACGAATTATCATCCAGCAGTTATTTGTTTACGAAAAAAAATTTACTCTAAATTACATATTCACTTCAAGTGTGATAAACAGTGGTTCTTTACAAGTTGAATTATACATACTAACGATGAGATGATCGAACAAATTATCAGAAAACCCAATATTTACAGCAACCTGTCCCAAGTAAAATGTAGGTCACAAATAGACTGGATATTCAAAGTTTTCGATACAATGATTAAACGCAAAGTTTATTTTGAATGACTGACTGTAAAGAAAGTTATCTGTTATATTTCACTGTTAATATCCTTTATTGCATTTGTTAAAATCACGCATTTGAGTCGACTAGATCAAAGTTACGAACATACATTCTAGTTTATTAATCATTACCAACTTCTGTAGTTTGATATGAGTAAGCTAAAAAGTCAGGTCAATGAAACAGAAAAAACTTGCCATCGACTTTAAAAACACAGCTCTTTATTTATGGCAACAAATGGTCGAGAAATCGACCTTTCAAAAACAAGAATGTAATATACAACCAAAAATCTGGTTTAGATTAGAAGATGATATCAAGAAATCTAGGCACCAATGATCATTGATTAATGGCTTAAAATGATCAGTTGATTCAGAAATGTAATAAATAAGGTATATTCTGTAACTTGACAAATTATATAATATTCCTTAACAGTAAATTACTCACCGTTAAATAAACCCAATGATGAAATCATTACTTGAATGAGTTGAGTAGTTTAATTCCTTGGTTTTTCAAGTACGATTCATTGATAGATGTTGATAAGAACAAGATATAAGTTTTGGAGCTTTCTGTTTACCACCTCTAAATATCTCATATCCAATAAAGAGCACTTAGAATATTGCTGACATTGAAGAGTCAACAGATATAATGTATAAAGTATCAAGTCTTAGACTATTTAAGTAGGTAAAAGTTTGTTAGTAGAGCTATTGCTGATATCAGAAGTTATTCGGTAGCAATGAAACTAATCCAAGACAAATAGAATAATCTTTCAATGATATTATGCAATTCATTCTTGTTTATTTTGAAATCATATTACAAATTAATAGTGACTAAACAGATATTGAAAACTAAGGTATATCGAAGAATACTTTCATTGTTGTCATGTTTTAAGTAGTATACCTTCACGATGTTATGTAAGGTCAAATCCTATACATTAGACTCCACGTAATAATGTACTATACTTTCAGATGATATTTCATGTACCGACACCTAGTCCATTATCACTGATAATTTGAAATATTGTGGTCTTTTTTATCTCTCACATTGGTACCATATTTTATAGTAATGGCTATTGGTCCTATAAGTTTACGATAACAATATGATCACTGTTAAATGACTGTTGTTTGCCAAGAAATTAATTAAATCCAGGAAACTGTTAAGCATTGAAACTTTGCAGTATCAGAATTTTTCGATTTGACAAGAGAGTATGATGCTATTGATTCGAAAAATTACATTTTACAATTTTAAAACCTTCAGTTATTTTGTGAAAGTACGTTAATATTTAAACTTGTTAACGTTTACTTCCTGTTACAAAGTCTAACATCAGTTAAACAATCGAAGCTTTATGCATAAAATCCTTGGTTATGTAATGGTGGAGAAGATTTGTAGCTCAGGTGAATGATTTTGATGGAGTTTTATTCTCTGAGCTGGACGATCAAACCATCCAGCTCAGAGAATAAAACTTTTGGTGTCGGTTATTATGTTAAGCCCATATACCTTATTCTCGCTTTCGGACAGCTCAATCTATTCATTTTACTTGAGTCACATTTTGACTTTGTTAATTATCCGCTTATCAATCTTCACTGTTTTTATATGAGCCATACGTGTTTGTACACTTCTTATCCCACTACTCATCATATGTCTGTAACCTATTTTTGTGTCACTATAAATATTGATTAACGCTTGGTTAAATGGGAGTTGGCTTACCCGCCATCTCCACTGCGTGTCGTTTCTCTTCTCTCTATTCCATTTCCTTCATATACAAAATATATGTATTCAAAAGTCCATTCTCGCTATTTGACTTATCTAAATCCGTTATTGACTAACGCGATTAAAGTCGATGATTATATACGAGGATAGGCGACATATATATTTCAACAACAATCATCACTACGATCTACTTGGAGTCAGATCTCGGGCCACTAACGTGGAGAGCCCTTTCGACAACACCGTTCGATCTAAATGACAACAAAATTAAAGGCCCTACAAACTATCAAAATTCTTCGTTGTTAATTTTTCTGCGTTTGACTTATAAAACCACTTACTGTATCATAGTTACTGAAAGACACAATATGCATGATTAAGTTGATGTTAAAAGAAGTTAATAATTACTTACTGAGGTATTAAATGGACCAGTTCCCATGCAAACATTTGTAATTATACCACTGATTGATACATTTGTTGATGAACTTAAAATTATATTTTTGGCTTGTACAACACCGGATACGCATGCCATACACTCTAAATTGCGAGAGAAAAAAACAATATACACAATATATGATATGATTTATATTATATTACTTTATATAAACTATCTGGCTTCCATTAATAGTTGATTCTTCATTTTAAAACAATTGAAATTTGTAATGGAGGAACAAAGTGGTAGATCTAATAGTACAGTGCCTTTCTGTAATAAAATGTTTAAATGATGGAAAATTTTTGATATGGAGAGGAATAATTTCATCCATTGGAGTACAAATGACATATAAAATTCACGTTTCTCAATCGTTTGTGACACTTATTTACACGTTAAATAAAATTACTGATGCTTAATTAGTAAATATGTAGTCACATAGTAAGTTATTATCAGGAAGGGGTCTAGTGGAGATTGTAGTAATTTATTAGTTGGATTCATGAATCAATTGATGTTAGACCACTATAGAAAACCTGTATGCACTGGACAGCCGTCTCGTTCTAGTATGGGACTCCTCAGAAGTGCGCGTCGAGGACCTTCGATCAATTCAATTTATACAAATCTGGCTGTTAATTCGACTGAAAATAAACTATACATTATGTGGTGTCTTCATAAATTATTTATTGATTTATTTTGGGAGTCAAATAAATCTTTATCACCAACTATGCTTGTTCACTCTAGACCTCTACTGTTGTATTCAATTTGATAAGGGCATTTAGTCTGGGGTTATCGTAATCGTTTGAGAAACCCAATCGATAGTTCAGTTATCGCAATTATCATTACTTTTATCGCCAATACACATAATGTTATCAATTAAAATTGCCTGAAGTCAACTAACATATCTATTCCTTGTATGTTTTGTTGAATAAGATACGTAAAGTATTTGCAAATAGTCTATTCGACGAAGCCAATCACGAATTAACTAACAGATATATAAACGATGAGTATTCTTCTCAACATATTTTTATCCGGTCACAAATTCAACTGGCACACAAATATCATTACAAAACTATTAAAGAACACAATACTAATTAATTGAACCAGTCAAGAGTTTGAGGATGTTTACATAATGCAAAGTATTTATTTACTAAATCGTTTTCGTATCATTTTAGATTTCTTTATTAGACCGGTTGTTGTGAATATATGAAATATGCTATGTATCACTAAATCTTCATTGAAACTTCATTAAAATCTATCTTGTAAATTAAAGTGTTTGAAAGAAATACATTTTGTTACTTATATACATCATGGTTTCTCTCAATCGATTCATTAATATGCTACATTTCATTTGAGAATATTAGATTCGATGTGCTGAAATTCCTTGAAGTGATTCTGTCTTATTTAATTGACAATACAAATAAAACAATTCCTAAATTGTGTATTTCAAAGTTGATACAAATATACACACAAATCATTCCGTATCAATATATATTTTGTAAGTCAATTGGAACTAGATCATCATGGAAAACCTGGAAGAATTGGACGGCCGTTTCGTCCTAGCATGGGACTCCTCAGCAGTGCGTATCCACGACCCCACACCCAGTGAGACTCGAACCCAAGAACTACCCGTCCCACGCCAGGTGCTTAACCAACCAGACCACTGGGACGCATCCAACGGTGTTAATGTCTAACTCCGACCAATTAACGAAGTTCGCGGGGTGCAGGATCGTGGATGCGCACTGCTGAGGAGTCCCATTCTAGGACGAAACGGCCGTCCAGTGCCTCCAGGTTTTCATGGTGATCTAGCTTCAATTGACTCACGATTTCAATCAGTGAAATTTCTAAAATCTCCACAAAACCCCTTCTGATATATTTTGTAGTTTAATGAAGACAAGTACACTTACGATAAAGATTTGGTTGACTTCGTCTTCTAAGATCCTGCTTTTTTTAAGAAATAAATTATAAAGGATAAATTGAACAGAAGGTTAAAATGTCAGAAAATAATTTTGATCTATTTAACATTGGCACGTATTCAATCGTTTATAAATGATCTGTTCAGTATATATTAAAAAAAATCGGAACTAATCTGCAATTCTGCCAAGTTTTAATCATTCTAGTCCCTAACAAAACCGTTCAAGTATGAAGCTTCCACACTGTTCACAAATAACCAGTTACTTAAGCTTAGTCTTATCAACTTAATATGGTATATCAGAACTAAATGGATTTTTGTGTAAACTATGAACGTAGAACACTGATTGTTTTAATCTAAGCACATCATTCAATAAATACATTGATCTAAATTTGGAATGACCTGGATTATCCCATTGTTAATATTTTGACTGAGATTTGATCTGTCTTGATTGGCATATATGTATCCTATGCGGATTGTCTTGCTGTAGCCACAGGTTAGTACTGATTGTTACAAGTAGTAATAAAATATTTCGTTAATTTAAGTTATAAAGTCAATTTCAATCCAGTATAGTTATCTACATAAAACAGATGGGATATAACTAGCAGTGGAATCCATGACCCATCCTTCATTCTATTTAGGTCTCGTCAGCTGGATGTAATGGCATCATAAAGTTGATGCCCAGTCCGTTGCAAGAGTGAATGACTACTTGGACTCAATAGTTCACTGGATGGCAATTGAAGCAAAAATATAGTGAAATGAGTCCTCGGAGAGGATACCAACTCTAGGATTCAGGTAAATCCATCTGACGAGTCCCGAATAGGGCGAAATGTGTGTCATGGATTTCATTGCTAGTTACATCTCGTCTATTTCATATAGATAACTATATTGGCTTGAAATCGACTTTTTAACTTAAATTACCGAAACATTTTATCACTACTCGTAACAATTAATACTTTCTTGTTGCTGATCATAATGACTGTATTAAATTAGTATGCATTTAGCATATGCACATCATGAAAGGATACTTTTGACTTTGCCATTTATACACGATATTTTATTAAATTTGGACTCAGTAACAGAGCAAACAACGGGTTGACTTTTAAACTTATATGCAATTCGGCCAGTACCAGTGTAAATATATACAGTGAAATGTATGTAGGTCTTTATCCCTTTAAATTATGCACACTTGAATGATATCTTATATTTTGGTTCTCTTCAATCGTTTCATACTCGTAATACAGATTTGTGTGACTGTGGGTGGTTGCCAGAAACTATGTGACTCGATTTTCCTGTATATTAATGAGAATTAGTTTGGTATTTTTAGTGTTCAACTCAAAGTTGCAACTCACCTCTCCATACAATACCCTCATGAATATTTAAAATAATCCATATTAAATCACGTGTAATAATAAAATTATATCAACCAATGTTATCAAATGGATAATATAAAATAGTATTACAAAATCACAATTGATCTATGAATGATCTAATGAATTATCAGGGGTTTCGTGGAGATTTTAGTAATTCTATAATCGAATTCATGAGTCGATTGAAGCTAGACCATCATGGAAAACCTGGAAACACTGAAAGGCCGTTTCGTCGTATTGTGGGACTGTTCCACAATGCGCATCCGTGATCCCACCTCACGAGATTTGAACCCAGAAACTATCTGTCTCAAGCTCGAACGCTTAACCAATAGATCAATGAACCAGCATCCAATGGTGTAAATACTTAACTTCAATTAATCCATGAAATTGAGCGACACATCCACTTTTGTCTCCAGTGGGTTACCGTCTCACAACGGACCCAGTCGAAATCCACTGATAACTGCTTTTCATAAGAACTATAGGTAATATCTCTAGAAAGTTGTAATCTTTCAGTCTACTTCATATGAAAAACAGAGATTATAAATATCTCAACTTCCTTAACTATTCAATTAGACAATTTTCATTGATTTTACTGACCTTTTGAACTTGTAACTGTTGTGTAGGATCTTCCATTACATTATTCATACAGAATACTGAAATTTCAAAAGAATACAATGTATGATTAATAAGAAATTTCATGAATTCACTACTTACCTAATGAAATAAGTAAACACAATATACATAATGATTTCATAGTTAATGGTTAATTATTATCATTCTACTATAATTATATAATGAATATTTATACATAAATTGATCAAGAATTGTTTTTCTCTATCATTATTCCTTTATCTTTATCAACTGAATGAACTACATGATTGATCTTTGTTCACTTCAATAACAAAAATTCATTGTCACTTACCTTCGTTTCAGTTTCAACATGAATATGAATGTTAAAAAACAAACCGTGGGTAAAGTCCTAAAAAAATTAATAAGAAGAAGGCTATAAATGTCTATGATATTTCATTGATGTACAATTGTTTATAGGTTTTGAAAAAAATCAATCTTTTGTTTAGAATGTAAGTTTGCATATATCACATCGAAACTCTGGTATCTCCTCATTTGCGGATAAATCTTTCACCTTTTTACTAAAGATTTCCGTAGGGAGGCACAATACAATGAGTCTAATCTCATTTTTTCCAACTCCTTCTTCGCACGGAGTATTATTTGTGCTGAAAAATCTATATTGTACCAAAATATGATATTGAATAAAGCCATTAATAATAATATATTTTCCTAACATTCAACGATACGAGACAAATGTATAGTGAATGAAATTTCCTCTTCTCACTGACGTATACACACAATCTGTTATCTTAATACTTTTCGTTTCACACCACATGTCTCTTACACACTAATGTATAGACCTACTTTAGGCATTGTTAACGTTGATTAGACGACTTAATCAGTATGCAGTAAATCGGAGAATACTGTACTTATTTATATTCGATGAATTTGATGTTTGATTATTATTTCCATGAGAAAACCCGGACGAGATTGCTAGGCGAAACGTTGAATTTACTTGAAATTCATTTGCTGAGATTTTACAAATACATTCCTCCTCTTTAATGTCTCACATTAACTCGGCACCCAAATATTGTGAAACTATTCGATCAAATTTAGACGAAAGTTCTTTTATATTAGATTTGATAAGTTCAAACGAATTCAGTAATGTACAGTTTATCTACGATTTTTAAAATTTCAATGTATTTATGGTGTTCGAGTGAGCATAAATGCAGTTTTTGGCGTTTTTGTAACTTACAGTTTAGTTGCTTCTTCAAAAGTTGAATAGCCAAATTCAAATGAAGATATGATTAAATGATTAATTAAGTGTCTTATCTGACATAATAGGTTTGTCATCAATATGTCTTTTGTGATAATTTATAACGTTAACAAATGCTGTCAATATTCACTATTTTCACCATACCCAGTTAACTCATGATTGAATTGATATGGAAATTCATGATAAACAACCTTTATTTTACTGTAAATTCTGTTGGATTTAAAATTTCGTTCATGTAGTGTACGTACTTATAAGTAGTATAACTCTTGAAACATAATTCAACTACTAAGATTAGTATATTTTGATGAAAATTTAAGTCACAAATCTAGTAATTTCACTCAATGTATTCAACCTACTATCTAAATGAAGTTTAGAGAGTAAGTAGAAGGCCAACGGAGTTAATATGTACTGTAGAATATGAAATCGTGGATAAGTTCAACCATAGTTGATTTTCTTTTATTTGTTCAATCAGTGTTTCAGCAGACGTATCTGTTTTGTATATCCTGTGAGAGAAATCAGCGATTCGTAATTACAATCGACAGTCGATTTCTATATACTAGTCCCTGTTTTGTGGATATCACACCTGAAATTAACCAGTGGTAATAAAAATATTTCGTTGTTGGAACTATGTTAACGATTTCCGTTAATTTGTTGTAAAAGCATGATAGAAAGCATTAGCTGATACAAACTATGTTACCATGATCATTTGAGTGACAAATATCAAGATATTCTAAGTTTACTGAACTTATTCAGCTTGTTATACTTCTAATGAACGAGAACACAAGTGGGGACAACCAAATGTATCTCAATACAAAATTACCGAATGTCTTAGTAAATACTCCATTTGCAAAATGTTAATCAATTATATCAAACTTGACTGTTCCTTCGTTTTCACACCAATCATTGTCTGTTCTCGTTCACTTTTTTCTATCCTCATAACCTTCTGCCACCAAGCATTTCATTTTCGATTGTTGATACATACTACTTATATCTGTAAACATCGCTAGCACCCACCATACTATAAATAAAGTAATAGTAAATTGGCTAAATATCTAATGTATTCAGATGATTATTATAATTCAGTAAACTGGAGAATTGAGAAACCACTAGAAACCAATGAACGCAAACGGCTGTTTCATTATAGTTTATTTCTGAAGGACAATAACTAATTCACTTGCTCAAACAGAATGCAAAACGTTTACATCTCATAACGAATAAGATGTCATTCAATTGAAATTCCAATCTATTGTTTACCGTTTTTAACTGTCATCATACTTACAAAAAGACCTGATGCTTACAATTGAGAGTTTATAATCAGTACCATCAAACTATACTATAACATTTACGTGTTTCTCTCGGGTTTGTAATAATATTCAAATAGATGTTCACTTGTAAAAATAAACCACCTTCTAAACAAAATACTTAGGACTATACAGTAAGAAATATCTACATTAAATCCACTAGTTCAGTATACTTTTACTTTAAAGGTTTTTTGGGCTTTAATTTTATCTGTAGGTGGTATTTGTTACGGATTGATCACAATTAACTTACTATTAAAAAGTTAGGAGCATTCGATGGTTGTTTCGTCCTTATATTTGACTCAACATTGCAGACCCACAGCTTTAAATGTTCCTGGAATTTTATCGGCGACTTAAAACATATGAAGTTCAGAAATGTTGGGAGTAAAACAGCCATGTCAGTGACCTTAAACAATCATTATGAATCGATTGAAGTTTGAAACATGTATCAGTGGATGATAATCCAGTGACTTGATGGTTTAATGCACATAATTTGACCTAAAATTTCTGGTTCTCATCTCTGAGTGTACACTTTGAAAGAGTCCTATACTAAGGCAAGACAACTATCCAACACTCCCTAACTTTCAATGTTACCCCAATTGAATAAATTACACACACAGTAGATACAAATATACAGGAGTCTAGAATTATATTGGCTAAAATTTAACCATCTTCATATACTCCCTTCCATGATTAATCAGCTTTGAACACACCTAATAAATGATCTAGAGTCAATCTATCATTTACAAGAAGTCCTCAACAATAGTTAATTTCATTTACGTAAATAAACCTTAAAAAGTTTCTCCTAGTACACAAACTGAAACTTGTTTTTCTTCTCAAAAAAGGGGGTATGTGATTCTTAGTATTTAGATTATAATAGTACCAATCAAAGTGAATGAACGTTTGACTTTAGGTCGATCAATATTTAGGTCACCTCTATAAGAAATAAATAACTATTTAAATAAATAATAAACAAATAATAACTGATCTATCTTTTTTTTCCTGATCTGGATCACTAATGATGATTGATTGAAGGATTGAATTATTAAAACGTTCATTGAATATTTAACTATGATTGATAATATTCAACACTTGCAAACATGAACAATTCTCAAGAACTCCTATTCTCACCATACAGACGAAACCCCGGTGAGTATACAAATAAAGTAAATGATAATTTAGTCATAAACTATGTTATTTTGAAAATATGGATGATTGATTCTTGACTTTTTTTAAAACATTTTCATGGTAAATGGCTTTATTCAGAGTACAATATGGAATTCGTAGAACACTTATTGATCTCTCTTAAATCTACTTGATATACTACCTGAAGATCATAGATTTAATCCTATCTGAGATCTTTTTTGTGTGTAGTTACTGTCTAGGAGTTGCAATCTTAGATCTAACAGTTATTTATCAATGGTTGATTTTGCAATGATGCTCGAAGTGATAGCAATCCGTTACAAAATCTGTCTTTAATACTATTCAGTTGTTTGACTATATCTAATGTTGAACACAAAAACATAACACAACATACTTGTTATTTGTAATCATATATACCATAAGAAGATTTGCTAGTCGGGCAACCACTGATCTAGGTTAAAACTTTAAGAAGTTTTAATTTTCTAGGCTATTAGTTAATATTCATAACTCTAGAGAAAGTCATATTTATTAGTTATCAGGAGAATGTGATTCTGTGGTGTGTGCCACTGATGTCGACAGATATAAGTAGTATGTGTCATCAATCGAAAGTGAAATGCTTGGTGGCAGAAGGTTAAAAGGATAGAAAAAAAAAGGACGACAACAATGATTGATGTGGAAATGAAGGGAAATTCAAATCTGAGACGATTGATTGACATTTTGCGAATGAAGTATTTATTGTATGGTTCTATGATTTTACTGAGATATTCTGTAATTTTGTATTGAAATATATTTTGTTGTCCCCACTTGTGCTCTCGTTAACTGCGATTCTACCTAATAAACATATGTCATTCCATACTGTGGGTTACAAGAATACTGTCTTATGCGACATATAATTATGTAATAATCTTTGAACCACACTTACTATGAACGTTATTGGAAAAGAGTGAAGTTCAAACGAGCTAAATAATAGTTGAAAGTCGAGAGTTTAAACAATTAAAACATTGAAATGTGTAACTAACATAGATAACTGGATGCCACAATGGTAGTCAAAGTGGATTTGAAAGCTCTGTCATTCTTAACCTCATTTGTTTTCAGTATCATCATAAGTTTACCGGAATAAATTTTTGTTCAGTAACCGAAGATCATCTTTAAGTTGTTCGTTGCCTTTGTTTTAATTTTTTATGAAAGGTCCTCATTCCGGTTAACTTGGTTTTACATTCAACCACAATCTCCGTTACAACAGATCTTTAGAAAGAATGAATTAAAATATATCGAAGTGTAGCTCACCGTCCTCATTTTAAAATAAGTTAGGGTAGTGTTGATTATTCCTGCAATGGTAACTAGTGACGTCCCTCTAATCATAGGAAGGAAGATAAGTCTTTTGAAGATACCACTAACACCGTTACTAAAATAGTTAAAAAATCACAGTGTAAAATATTAATTCTCTTGAAAGTCATACAGCCTAATGAACATAGTGTAGTGAACGAAAACTCATCTG